AATTAAAATACACTTCCTCCGTTCACCTTTAATAGGTCTAATTTTTTTAATAAAATATAAATATAATAATTTATTAATAAATTTTATATTTATCCTTTATAAATATTACTTAAATAAGACTTTTTCTTTAATACAATGTTATAATTATCTTTTTAAGATAAGGGTAAAATATTTTTTTTTTTATGAATCAAAAGTGTTATTAATAAAGAGAGTACAAGGGGTACTCATCCATGCATTACATTAAAAGTTCAGAAAGGAATTAAAAATCAACTGCACAGTGGAGTAGGAATTGACACTAGCCCACGAAATTGAACTTAGCACAAGTAGAGTTTTCTTTGATCTAGCAAAAAGTTTTAGATTGAATTAAGTCAATCAATCTGTTTTCATTCCAATGTTGTTTTTCAAAGGTAATACCATTTTTGCTCACCCAAATGGACCAAGCAGCTAATGAGATTGTGAGGTTCCAGCTACTTCTTGCTTTCTTGAGGACTTGCAACGAACTAAGCTAATGGAGAATGGCAGAGGCATTATCCAAGGGAACAACAAGGAAACCCCACCAGTGACATATTTTGCTCCATAGTTTTTGGGATTGTTCGCATTTGGCAAAGATGTGATTTGCGTCCTCTAGATGATCACCGCAAAACACGTAGTTTGGATTGTTTGTTAAATATACTCCTCGAAGAAGCAGGTTGTCTTTAGTTGGAAGGCGATTTAGGAAGAAGCACCAAATCATGAAACTAACTTTAGAGGGCACCGATGGGTTCCAAATCAGGCTGCAAGTACTACCTTCAAGACAAGTTGTGGGGTTTTTGAGAATTTGGTAGGCTGATTTTGCTGAGTATCCTGATGGGCAGTGAATCCAATTGAAGTTATCTGGCTTGGTGTCGTGGATGTGGATAGGCTTTAGAGTGTCTTCTAGTCTCTTGTATTCGTCTAGCTCTCCTCCAAATGGTTCATGACGCCAATTGAAATGCCATCCTTGACCTTTAGATGGTTTGAGTTCAGCAACTGACATTTGACATTTCTTTATCGAGGGAAAGGTTGTATAGGCGTGGAAAATCCAATTTGAAGGAGGAGGTGTCTAGCCACACGTCAAACCAGAAATTGGTTTTTGTTCCATCACTGATATGTCTGGGAAATCCATCAATGAAGCATGTTTTTGCTCTTTAGATAAGGGTAAAATATAAATAAACGTATGAAATAATATTTTAAAAAGAAAAAATAGACAATTAAATTTGAATGTCTTAGATTATAAACAAAAATATCATAATTATAATATTACGTAATATTATAAATTTATAACATAATATATCTTAACACCATGTCATGTTCATTTGATGTCAGATCATAATTTTAAGTTTATAATTTATATGATATTATAATTATACCATTATCAAATTAAAAATTGAATTTATTAAATTAAATAAAGGGAGTAATATTTTTTAAAATGTCCTCCATAAAAGACATCTTATAAAACACATTTTCCTTTATATAACTGCCTATTATGTAACTAAAAAGAGGCATAACAACAAGAAAAAAGTGTTCGTAACTTCTTTTTTTTTTCATTTTTTTTAGAGATGTCCTCCATAAACTAATGATATTCGCATGATTTTTTTTTTTTTTGAATGAGAGCAGCTAGTACATATATTAGGTATATGGGGATTAGGGAAAAGAGACATCATGTGATTCGAACCAATGGTTTTAGGCATTAGGTCAAAGCATGAAAATCATGATATTCGCATGATTTGCG